AAGAAATAAGAAGGGAGGTCATTGAAGAGATTAGTGGATCATATAAAACTGGATGATCACTTGTACTGTGAAAATCAGAATTGAGAGGCAAGTATAGAATCAAGAGGACTTTTGGCAACAGAAACAGCAGAACTAGAAAGGTTGTTGGAAAGGAGTTCATGAGAATGACTCCAGTCTTTCTAGTTTGGTCACCTAAGTGTCTGAGTTTTCCAAGTTAGGGAAAAACAAGGAAGAGCAAAAATAAGGGAGGAAGACAGTAAATTTAGTTTGAGATATGTTAGCTTAGAGGCATCTAGGAAGAGAGTAAATTTAGTTTGAGATATGTTAGCTTAGAGGCATCTACAATTAGAGATATTTTGTGGGCAGCTATAGCCACCTATCATAAATAGAATGATGCCAGAGATGTAAGTTTTGGAATTTCCAACATCTGAATCCAGATGAACTTTCTCAATAGAGCATAGAAGTATAAAGAGAGACAATGTGGCAGTACCTTGAGGCACATGTAAACAAAGCAAAACAACTAAAATAGATGACACATGAACTTTGGAGTCAGAATGTCTGAATTCAAATCCTAGCTCAACCACTTATGAGCTGTGTGACTTTGTACAAGGTACTTAATATGCTTTGGTCTCAGTTTCCTCATCTATAAAATGAGAACTACCTCAGATTGTATCATGATGTTTAAATAAATTAGTGTTTATAAAGAATGTAGAATAATACCTGGCATTCAGTAAATACAATTTAGTTTTTATTAAATAAAAAGTATTATAGTTCATTTAGCTCCAAATATTGACCTTCATTCTGTGTTCTATTTTATTTCCCCACTATGTCTTATTTTTCTGAAGCCTGTCATTTGTTTTTCTTATTCTACTCCTAATTCTAGTGGGTCCTAAATGAAGTATTATTAAATTCACTACCTATTTCACATGAAAAGTAAATCTTAGGAAAAATAAAAATCAATCCCTTTCTTCATGAAACAATTACCTTGTAAAAAAAAATCTTAGAAAAGTTCTCTCTAGGCATATCACAATGTAATCATCTGTTTCTACTGATTAAATTGATAAATAATTTTCTACAAAGGAATATTTCTCCTAGAAGTTTCTTTCTTTTACCTTTTTTTTTTCATTTTTCAGGACCAACACTACTAAAATGTTCTATTCATACATTCCAAGCAGTTTCAGACTTTAGAGTTAACAACCTGTTCTTGGTATGGTCGCGACCATCAGGATCCACTCTGCCAGGAACTGTGCTAGATGCTCTAAATAGAAAATCTCATATTCTTCCCCAAACTCCTTGAGTTGGCTATGATGTTTGCTATATAATTGAGAAAAATGAGGTTAGTCAGAGTCCCTGAATCATCTCAAGCCTAGGGAAGTTGCCTCAGTGTAGTGAACAACAACTGAGCAGTTGGTTTCAAAGCAGAACATCATTCAACACAGGACAGTTGTCTCTCCGCTCTGCAGTGTGTCATCATTTTGAGGATGAGACAAAAGGTAGAATGGCCTGATGGTGGCACCCACCAAGATTTCCTGCCCTATTTTACCACAGAAGATACTTGGGAGTCCTGGTACCTTGGACTTATCATCTATGGCTTGGAGGAGCCAATGACCAATAATCTTTTATTTTGGCTCAGTTCATGAACCATCAGCAACATCCTCCCCTCTAGTCCCACCAGGAGACTTAACACAAAACTGTTGGAAGTCTCTTGTCTAAACATAGTACAGGTTTAATATTCTTACCAGTCTTATTGAGACTCTAATTCAGTTTTTATTTGAATAATATTGTTCAGAGAATATGTCATAGTGATGGTGATCATAAGTATCACCTCAGAGATGGACTTGTCCCTGTAAAATGAAGGTTTCAGGATCAGCTTTAAGAAGGAGTTAGATTGAGATAAATGTAAATGATAAATAGATCATGCATGGGAAAAACAGTATCTGGTATAGAAATATAATGCTAACTATACCAAAGCAAAGCCAAATCAGACGTGTCTGGACAATACTTAGTTTTTCTGGAATGAAGTGTTTAGTAAGAGAAGCAATAAAAAACATCATGGAAAACTGGTGAGGGCATGTTTGTGAAGATCTTAAAAGTTTGGGTACCATCTTATGATTAATGAAATCAAGAAACATGGTGACATAAAAACATTTCAGGAGAGTATGTTGGTAGGATCAGAGGTTGAAATGGTGATGTACAGAAGGAATTCAAATTATTCTGAATTTCTAAATCTGGGAAAATATCTTGATATGTATTAAAAGTAAAGAAAGCCTATTTTAGGAGGCTGTTTCCAGTTCCTTCCAACAAAATAATATCTCACACACTGGCATACTTTTTCTATAAAGGCCAGATAGTAAATATTTTAGGATTTTGGACATGCAGTTTCTGCCACAACTACTCAACTTGTTGCCATAGCACAAAGCAACCTTAAACAATATGTTAATGAAGTCACATGGCTCTGTTTCAGTAAGCTTTACCTATGGACACTGAAGTTTGAATTTCATGTAATTTTCATGTGTCACAAAATATTACTCTTCTTTTGATATTTTCTAGCTACTTTAAAATGTAAAATCCATTCTTAGCTTGGGACTATACATAATCAGAAGGAGAAAAGGATTTGGCCACAGTTTGCAAACTCTTGGTTTGTAGAACATCATCAGAACTTTCAATCCAACAATATTTTGAAAACTTGAATTTTCTTCTGAAGACTTCTCTTGAGCATTTGGAAGGAGCTGGCTGAAGTGGGCTTGAAGTGGTAGGAGAAGGGGATAACTATTAATAACTTAGTTAGTCAGACTAATCATACTAACCACAGGGGGCAGTAGGACAACCAACATGTGTCCCTGTATGCTCTAAGCCAACAGTTACTTGTCTGAAACCTTCAAAAAAAAAAAAAAAATTCTGAACTCAGTATTTTGATAATTGCAGAGGGAAAATCAAAAGTGGTGGGCTTTGCTTTTATTCAAGTTGCTTATGCCACCCTAAAGTGGTACAATGCAGTACTTGCCCAAAGGGAGTGACTGGCAACATTGATGGAAGCTTAGTGCGAGAGCAGTGTGTAAAGTTGAAGAGACTTTGAACAAAGAATTCTGGAGAGACTAACTAGGCTGGGGTAACTAATGAAAACCAGCCTGGGAATGGAATGCAGAGGACATGAGAGTCCCAAAGGAAAAACTGATGGGACTTGCTAACTACTGAGACATGGTGGCTGAAAAAAGAGAAAGGAGAAAGATATAAAATGTTTTAAAATAGTCTCATTACATTATTCAGTGCCACTAAGAATCACATAGCAGTGAGAGGCAAGGGGGACGATGTAGTGTGTAGAAAATGGGGAACATAGGAGGCTGGAGGGTAGCACTTCACAGAAGCAAATCACACACATACACTAATGTCTGATAAATGGTAGGCTGAAATTATTGGCAAATACAGAGAGAAGGGATCCCATTAATGCCCACATGCTACCTTTATTTCAAGTATTATCAGGTGGAAAATAAAGTAGTATCATTATGGTGTTGATGGTCAAAATATGTGAACAATCTCCTGCATCATATTATATAGAATCCCCCTCATTTGTTCAAGGTAATTTCCTTTTGATCACATGGCACTGGTCATGTCTTATAAAGCAAATATATCCAAACATTTTTCATTACTTATCTTCAGCTTTTCCCTCTCTAGTTCTGTTTGCTTACGTAGATCTCAAATGTATGAGAAAAACAAACACAAGGCAATTAATGTACCTACAGTTAGAGATGTGAATAATACTGGAATTCAGAAAAGGAAAGGTTGCATAAATAAACCTCTCCAAACTCTTAGCACCAACTATTGGTTTTATCTGCTTCTACCCTACCTAGAGCTGTCCAAAAGGATTGCTAAGGCACTTGCCCCCTAAAAATGTCCCTTTCCTGCTATTATGATTCACCCAAGGCAGCATGGTATATGGTAGAGATGCACGTCAGCCCTGCCTATAAATGCACCAAGGCCTATTTCTCATAAGCAATTTTTTTACATACACAAAATGAAATAGAGACAAAAAAGTAATTATTGCCTTCATTGTTTGGACTCACATATATAAAAATAAATTTTTAGCCTAATTCTAAGATAGTCGTTTCAACTGTGCTTCTTAAAAATCTTAAACACCAGGATTTAGTTAAAAATATCTTCAGTTTGCCTACATTTAACCCTTAATTGTATCTTAGGAAACCTATAATGAAACTAGTGTGGCCAAAATACATTTACCAACAGGTTTCCTTAATTATTATCTAGGAACTATTTAGAAGTGGATTATTTCCTGATTTACTTACATTTTGTAAAAAAAAAAATGGAAAGTTAATTTATGAAGTTAGAAAAGTAGCTGGAAGAAGCCTAGCCCATTTTATAATGAAAAAAATAAGACACAGAATATGTTTTAAAGTGGCTTTCTCAAATGAACCACAACCTTCAGGATTAGACTTTCCCTTTGAGATACTGAGGTACAGAAAATACCCAGTTTTTAGAAGACACAAAGGAGGCTGAAGAATCCAAATACTCCAGCCCTAAGCGGTATTAAGACCAATAAATAACTATATATGGTATGCTGCTTCTCTCTTCGGAGTAAATCAGTTATTCGGCTAACATGTAACAAGTACATTATAAATTATTTCACTATTACAACCACCACAAATAGATATATAGAAACTTCTACAAACACATTACCATGAATAAAGAAAATGAGTAGACAGAGAGTGCAATCAGAATTAGACTAATACTATGATCATCTTAATATATCAGTTAAATGTTATGTCCTCATTCCAAGACTCTCTCATTTTATGTAGCTTCTGCATTAATCCAGCTGCAAATTTACTTAGTCCAGATTAGGTCTTAATGTATTATTTATAGCTTTTTACTGGTGGTACATTATGGATTTTCATCCAAAAAAGTATAATTTTGTCAGGTGCATGTAAAAGCCATTTTTGAATATACAGCAAATTGTTATATTAAAAGAAAATTTTCATATTTTTTCATAGACTTGAATCAAAGGAACCTTTCCTGTCTGTTGGGTAAGTATTTAAATACTTTATAAGTATTAATTATTTAATTCAAATTACCAAGAACTTCTGAGATGGTATTTTCAGTCATTTAACCTCATATTCAAAATCATAACATATCATTGCATGCAACACTGCTATCTATGTTTTATACAGACTTAATTAAAATGCTCCCTAGGTTGTATTGTGACCTCAGAAATGAAGCTAATGAATGTATATGAAATCCTGTACCTTCTATAAAGGCTAAACAAGGTACACAGTGATCATCCATATTCTCTTCATGTACAAGTATACTCACATAGGTCCTAAAAATTCCTCTGAGCCATAGCTTCACCATTCCAAGCCTGTCTACCCATTGCCGTACTCCATTTCTTTTCAATCTACTCTGTTCACTGTTTCTTCACCCCCTTCCCTAAGTCTGTCTTCACAATCAATATCTATCTTTTCTCCTTAGCTCTCATTTCACTTTAATTTCTCCAGCTCACTCACGTTGACTGCTTCTCTGCACCCAAAGCTGAGGAACCCTGAGGCAAATTTAGATAAGACAAATGCTTGCCTGCTCTGACGGTATCCTTCTTAGTCACAAAACATATCTTAAGAATAATATATTGTTGGCCGGGTGCGGTGGCTCATGCCAGTAATCCTAGCACTTTGGGAGGCGAGCAGATCACCTGAGGTCAGGATCTCAAGACCAGCCTGGCCAATATGGTGAAATTCCATCTCTACTAAAAATACAAAAATTAACTGGGCATGGTGGCACACACCTGTAATCCCAGCTACTTGGGAGGATGAGGCAGGAGAATTGCCTGAACCTGGGAGGCAGAAGTTGCGGTGAGCCAAGATTGCAACACCGCACTCCAGCCTGGGCGACAGAGCAAGACTCTGTCTCAAAAAAATAATAGTAATAAAATAATAATAATATGTTGTTTACATGAGTGCACATGTTCTATTTTTAGGCATTTAAAACTAATTAAGTATAAGCAATGTTGTTTGTATCTGATCAAATACTCCTTTGACTAATATATTAAAGTTTATTATGAAAGGACTTTTGCACCATCAATATTATAGATGATATTGTATCAAAAAGTGGTGAAAAATGCGATGTCTTGCCTAGAGAAATCGTGCTATATTTGATGAGGGAAAAAAAGCTGTCATATATAGGCAGCCACAATACTGATGGTTAATGACCAGAAACATGGAATGGGGTTAGATTTTTAAGTGACCAGATCAATATTCTTTTATTACTTTGTACATGGCCATTGAATATTTCTATCACTCATTCAACAACATGGTTCCCAATTCCTTTCTACTCTTCATAAAAGCTTTTCAGAAAGCCACTCAAATCATGGAAATCAAAATAATTGTTAGGGGATGTGGAAGACAAAAAAATGGAATATATGTATTTATTTGAAGACTACATGGAAAATGAAAGGTCAAGTTGGTCTGGCCCAAAAAAGGTAATAAAGCATGCTTTTTTCCCTACATTGATCATCAGCTCCTATTGTTAAAAATCTCTACACCTGAAGAAATCTTTTAGTTTGAATGCATATGTATCTGCCCTCAAGTCAAAAGGCCTGAAATAGCTTCTCTTCACGCCTCACTTCATGCAGTTTCTGTGCAGCCTTTACTGTTCTCCTGGCTATTCTGAGATGAAATTCCTTTTTTATTGTATACTTCTGTTTTAAAAGGCAGACCCTAAGTAATCTTTGTTTTAACTTTTCAAGAGTTTAGCACTGAGTATTAGAACCCTGAGAAAAACTTCCCCCCAAAAAATAATAATAATGTATCACTCAGCGAATGCTCAAAGTGGGAAAATTAGCATGGCACACATAAGATATTGCCTATGTCTTAAAAGTAAAGTGTGTGAAAGGCAACCCAAATGATTCTGCTGAATGGATATTTTAATTTATAGCTAAATGTTTCCATTCCCTCAAGAAAATTATTTTAAATAAGATTGTCCAAAGTATGTATGCTAAGGTGGGCAACTCACTTTAGTGCAGGAGTTCGAGACAAGGCTGGACAACATGGTGAAACATCTCTACAAAAAAATACAAAAATTAGCTAGCCGTGGTGCCATGCCTGTAGTCCTAGCCACCTGGGGGCTAAGACAGGAGGATCATTTGAGCCCAGGAGTTTGAGGCTACAACGAACCGAGATTACACCACTTCACTCCAGCGTAGGCAACAGAGTGAGACCCTGTCTCAAAAAAATAAAAGCATGTATGTATCTCTCTCCTACTTTGTTCAGTGAGAAGATGGACAGAAGTGAATCAGTGGACACATATAAGCATACTAGGCACAATGCAGTCTACTCATAAGTACTATTATTCAAATGTATGACTGATTTGTTCTCGTGAAGTTATTTTTTATAAGTAAATTTTTATTTATTTTTTCCTGGTGCTTTATACCCATTTCTTTTTTTCCACAAATGATTGGGGTACAGGTGATATTTGATTACATGCGTAAGTTCTTTAGTGGTAATTGGTGAGACTTTGGTACACCCATCACCCAAGCAGTATACACTGCATCATATTTGTAGTCTTTTATCCCTCACCCCACTCCCAACCTCCCCCCCGACCAAGTCCCCAAAGTCCATTGTATTGTTCTTATGCTTTTCCATCTTCATAGCTTAGCTCCCACTTATCAGTGAACACATACGATGTTTGGTTTTCCATTCCTGAGTTACTTCACATAGAATAATAGTCTGCAATCTCATCCAGGTTACTGCAAATGCCACTAATTCATTTCTTTTTATGGCTGATGAATATTCCATCATATAAATATACACCACAATTTCTTTATCCATTCTTTGATTGATAGGCATTTGGGTTGGTTGCATGATTCTGCAATTGCAAATTCTGCTGCTATAAACATGCATGTGCAAGTATCTTTTTCATATAATGACTTCTTTTCCTCTGGATGAATACCCAGAGGATTGCTGGATCAAATGGTAGTTCTACTATTAGTTCTTTAAGGAATCTCTACACTGTTTTCCATAGTGGTTGTACTAATTTACATTCCCACCAGCAGTGTAGAAGTGTTCCCTGTTCACTGCATCCACTCCACCATCTACTGTGTTTTGATTTTTTGATTATGGCCATTCTTGCAGAAGTAAGGTAGTATTGCTTACCTTACTGGTTTTGATTTGCATTTCCCTGATCATTAGTGATGCTGAGCATTTTTTCATATGTTTCTTGGCCCTTTGTGTATCTTCATTTGAGTACTGTCTATTCATGTCATTAACCCACTTTTTCATGGCCTGTTTGTATTTTTCTTACTGATTTGATTGAGTTCATTGTACATTCTGGATATTAGTCCTTTGTCAGATGTATAGACTGTGAATATTTTCTCCCACTCTGTGGGTTTTCTGTTCATTCTGCTGACTGTTCCTTTTACCATGCAAAAGCTCTTTAGTTTAATTAAGTCTCAACTATTTATCTTTATTTTTATTGAATTTGCTTTTGGGTTCTTTGTCACAAAATCTAGGCCAATGTCTACAATGTTTTTTCCAATGTTATCTTCTAGAATGTTTACAGTTTCAGATCTCAGATTTAAATCTTTAATCCGTCTTGAGTTGATTTGTGTATAGGGTGAGAGACGAGGATCCCGTTTCATTCTCCTACATGTGGCTTGCCAATTATCCCAGTACTATTTGTTGAATAGGGTGTCCTTTTCCTCACTTTATGTTTTTTGCTTGCTTTGTCGAAGATCATTTGGCTGTAAGTATTTGGATTTATTTCTGGGTTCTCTTCTCTGTTCCATTGGTCTATGTGCCTATTTTTATACCAGTACCATGCTGTTTTGGTGACCATTGCCTTATAATATAGTGTGAAATCAGGTAGTGTGATGCCTCCAGATTTGTTCTTTTTGCTTAGTCTTGTTTTGTCTATGCAGGCTCTTTTTTGGTTCCATATGAATTTTAGGATTGCTTTTACTAGTTCTCTGAAGAATGATGGTGGTATTTTGATGGGGATTGCATTGAATTCATAGACTGCTTTTGGCAGTGTGGTCATTTTCACAATATTGATTCTACCCATCCATGAGCATGGGAAGTGTTTCCATTTGTTTGTGTCATCTGTGATTTCTTTCAGCAGCGTTTTGTAGTTTTCCTTGTAGAGGTTTTTTGACTCCTTGGTTAGGTATATTCCTAAGTATTTTAATTTTTTTTTCAGCCATTGTAAAGTGGGTTGCATTTTCTATTTGATTCTTAGCTTGGTCGCTGTTGGTATGTAGCAGAGCTACTGATTTGTGTACATTAATCTTGTATCCAGAAACCTTGCTGAATTCTTTTATCAGTTCTAGGAGTTTTATGAAGGAGTCTCCAGGGTTTTCAAGAAAAACAATCATATTGTTAGCAAAAACAGTGACAGTGTTACTTCATCTTTACCAATTTAGATGCCTTTTATTTCTTTCTCTTGTCTAGTTGCTCTGGCTAGGACTTCCAGTGCTATGTGAAGAGGAGTGGTGAGAGTGGGCATCCTTGTCTGGTTCCAGTTCTCACAGGGAATGCTTTCAACTTTTCCCCATTCAGTATTATGTTGCCTGTGGGTTTTTCATAGATGGCTTTTATTACATTGAGGGATGAGAGTTTTAACCATAAAAGGATGCTGGATTTTGTTGAATGCTTTTTCTGCATCTATTGAGGTTATCATGTGATTTTTATTTTTAATTCTCTTCATGTGGTATATCACATTTATTGACTTGCATATGTTAAACCATCCCTGCATCCCTGGTATGAAACTTATTTGATCATGGTGGATTATCTTTTTGATATGTTGTTGGATTCAGTTAGCCCATATTTTGTTAAGAATTTTAGCATCTATGTTTATCAAGCATATTGGTCTGTAGTTTCTTTTTTGATTATGTCCTTTCCTGGTTTTGGTATTAGGGTGATGCTGGCTGCATAGAATAAATTAGGGAGGGTTTCTTCTTTCTCTGTCTTGTGGAATAGTGTCAAAAGATTGGTACCAATTCTTCTTTAAATGTCTGGTAGAATTCTGCTGTGAATCCATC